TTCATTATAGTTGCACTTTAGATGGATTTAAAATTATTATTATTTTTTTTTTTAATCGGACATGTTTACTTGCATATGCAAATGCTTGTAGACAAACACACACTTCTGAAAACATGAATCAAAACTGTGACCGTGAAAATTCTTGTCAGGTGTTCCGTGAAGGTCGTACGAAAGCTGTGGGGAGAGTGCTGGAGGTCATACCAAAGATGGCATCTCTACAGAACCAAAAGAACAATCACAAGATCATGAAAATGGTTAAACAGGTAAGGGGATTCATAAAGCTGATTTTGATCCATATCTTGACTTAACCTATCTGAATCTAACAACTAAATTTAACTGTTTGATGTTGGAATGACATCTACGTACATGCCATATCCGTTGTGGCGCCACAAGTATTTAGTCGGTTACTAGCCCTACCTATCTCACCTGTTTACCCTCATCATTGATTTTTATAAAGATTCTTTTAACAATAACAGTATAGATATTGATAGCATTAATAAAATCAAGGACCAGGAAATCAGATGAGGTCATATAGGGCCTGTCAGTTAACCCATTGGATCCAGTTCCGTCACGGAAATCACATGGCAGGAAATACAGGCAGAGGGTTAAGTAAGTGGCCGCATGCGAACTCTCATGTGCGGTGACAAGACTCTTATGTTTCCCCTTTTGTGGCGAGTCTTTTCCATCATCTTAGAATTCACTTATTGTGGCAAGTTCGCCTGACCTGGCACGCAGCTATTTTGTCCCATGATGGCATGTTCACGCCACCTGACCCTCGACCCAAATTTTTCTACACAGATCAAAGGGGTTAACTCATTGGTGGCAGAACATTTGTAGAGACATCAGTGTGCTATCAAATTTTACAAAATAAAACTAAAGTGACCAGTACATTTATCAAATAGTAATGGGGTAACCTAACAATCTGAACTAGACCTAACCTATTTTCAAAAGGTGAATGAAGAGGAAATGTGTTTTTTTTTTTTTTTTTTTTTTTTTTTTTTTTTTAGACAGGTAGGGATTATTTTAGCAATCTTCTGCTAGTAAGAGCAGTACGTTTTTTATCATGTTTCAATCTAACTTTCTAGACATTTTTACTTTTGTGTTGATTAATTCTTTTTATAAACAGTGTGATAGGGAGATGTGTCTCTTAAAAGATATATGTAAACAGCTAATGGTGGATATTTTTATATTTTGGAAAATTATGTTTTTTGTTAATAAAATGTAAAATAGATGCTGAAGCAATTTCCTGCCTTAAAATGTGCACAAGGAAGAAAAAGCAGGTAAAAGAATGTTCAAGTTTGTTAGACTTTTGACAATTTTATTATTTTTTTCATACAGCTTCTCTCTTTTTTCTTTATTATCTCCTTTTGTTGCTTTTCCTTTTTCTTTATCATTTCCTCCTCTTTCTTTTCCTCCTCATTCTCCTTTTCCGTATGTTCTTCCTTCTCTTCCTCTTCTTCTTCTATTACTACTATTAATGATGTTAATGGTAACAGTAGTACTTTCTCTCCTTTTTCTTTCATTTCTTTTGTATTTTCACTACTTTTTTCCAGTTTTTTCTGCTCTTTTTTTTTTTCTTATTATCCTTTTCCTTCGTCATCTTTAATTTTTTCTAATCATCTATTACTTCAATCTTTACAAACTCCTGTCTTTTAACCTTTTCGATCTAGTTTTTTTTGGGCAGTTTTGCCTTCATAGGAAAATGACTGCGGGCTGGGTGATGTGAACTTGGTATCATGAGTGTGAAGGATAATTTGAAGGAAAAGACTCCCCATGAGTGCACAAGTCTTTTGGAGGGTAATTAGACTAATTTGACATTTAGAAAGGGGCGTTTGCATTATTCCTATCAATAAACAGGTGTGGAATGTAATGTCCATGACCAATGACGGAAAGAGCTCCAGCTTCAGGGAGGCCGCCATTTCCATGCTCAGCATACTATTCCTGGCTACCATGACAGGCACTGCAGGTTGTATTACAGAAAATTGAATATTAAGAAAAAAAAATTAAAATGACGTACCATATAGAGAGAGATGAAATTGAATTTATGCAAGGAAAGTAATCTATTGCTATCTAGATAAAGCAAATCAAAATACAAATATGGACGTTGGAAAATGGCAAAAAAGCAAAAAATGCTTATGTAAAATAACATTGCAGAGGGGAGGCATAGAGTCTTGTCACTGCACATGAGTGTTCGCGTGCACCTACATGCCAGACACCCAGCATAGCAGTAGCTTACTTATGCTTAATACCCATATTTTTGTCTATGTGATTCCTGTGAAGCAACCAGATTCAAGAGATGAAAGAGCTATCTTCATATTTTATTTTCTTCCTTTCTGCCAATTTTGGGTATTTCTTAAAGTGAAAAATGTGAAGACAAATTTCAAGAAAGAAGAGAGACATCATCTGTATTAGGTGGAAAGATGGATGCGTGCGTGAGTGAGTGAGTGAGTGAGTGAGTGAGTGAGTGAGTGAGTGAGTGAGTGAGTGAGAGTGAGTGAGT